ACAATTTAAGAAACCAAGAGCAGGATAGAGGTCAAAAGCACTGTGAGTTTCACCTATAAACAAGAATCTATTCTACTACTAATGGTCAAGGCAGGTAAGACTTCAAGGAAACTGGACTTAAATCTCTTTTGGGGGCATTGGAACTTCAGACTGATGATGTCATTTGACCCCATTGTTGGGCTCAGCTGGTCATTTCCTACAAATATGACTTTTTATGAACTGATATTCATTGTTTTAGATGAAATGGGGAATTGGATTACTACATATTTTCTTGTTTAATGATGGGTCAAGTGAAAATAGTAGCAAATAGGCCTCAGATACTGTCCAAACCATGACATGTGCAAAAGGATGGGGGTTAGTTATGCACTCAAAAATACAGGTCATCCTCATTTAATGACCATATGATGGTAATGAATGAGTGGTAGTTACAACTAGTTCTTGGAGTTCTTGGAGTTACAACTAGTTCTTGGAGTTCTGTCAGTGTAAGCAACCCCCACAATTATGCAATTGCAATTTTTGGCACTCAGCATCTAGTTTACAATTATGATGTTTCAGTGAGCCATAGTTACATGATTATTATTTCTAACATTTCCTGCGAGTTTCCCATAAGGAAAGTCAAGTTGGAAATCACAAGAAAGTTAGAAGTCACAGTCACATGAGGTCACATTTAATGACCCCCGCATTTCCTCTCATTAATACCCTATCTGACCCTAAAATAGCAAGTCAAGTAATGTGATCCCCAGTTGAGTGGCAGGGTGGTCTAGTGGTGAAGATTCTTGCCTCCCACTTGGAAGGTTGAGAGTTCAATTCTAGGTAGAACATATATTTCTCTCCTAGGGCACAAAGAGAAAAAAATCTGCTGTGAACTCCGTGTGGCATCAGGAAGGGCATCCAGCCAGTAAACGCATAGCTCCAGCCAGTCACCCCAACTCTACCCCGAATAATTAAGAGGTTACAGCGTCATAAAAAGGGAGTTTTAATGTGATATTCCAGGTGTTGTGGAGTTTTAACACCTATAATAACATCAAACCAGCAAGACCAGTGTAAGGGATGATGGGAATTCAGACTAATACTTTTGGGTGGAAGATAAGGTCTTCATTGTTGTTGTAAAAGAATAAAAGTAATTTAATGCAATTCTTGTCTTGGCTTTCAATAAAGTATATTAACATTTAAATGGCAAAGATAATGTTACAGATTAATGTTTTGTCTGAGAATGAAAAGAAAAAAGAAACCAGAAATATACTAACTCTATACTAGAAGTTGCTTAAGCAACAGTGTGAAATCATTATACCTGCATTATACCTTGACCTTTATTCTTAATATTCAATACTTTTTCTCATTTTTAAAATCATGTGGGTAATCTAAACCTTATGCTTTAGTTATGCACTGATATTGACAAATGAAGGCATATTGAAAGTTGGTTTCTTACTTACTGAGCTGAACATATAGCAGTAGCCTGGTTAGCTTATTAATTCATTGAATAGTATTCACTAGCCTACAAATATTAAGCAAACTGGTAATATAATGGACATGCTACTTTTTTTGCAGTATGTTAAACATTAGCAAAATTTATACTGCAATATCTCATCCCTCATGAGTTTTATTGAGTAGCCTTGGTTTCTTAGCAGCATGTTGAATCTTAATAGATGTTAGCCTTCAAATTATTGCAATTTATCTTGAGGAATTTTATTTTAAATTTCACTTGTAATATTTCTTCTGAGCACAGCTGGAAGAAAAAAGAAAAAGGTATATGTAAAGAAAATGTAGACTGTATCTAAGAGAACCTATTTCTTTCTGCTGAAATGTTTCAGAGTTTCTTTCTTGACTATTTGTTCTCTTTCTGTTATGTGGCCTACAGCTATATTAGATTGTTAAGCTCTTTGTGAGCTGCTTTCTCTTCATAATGATTATATCTGTATTATTTAGATGGATAATAGTCTAATCTCAGGAAGAACTGCCCAGAGTCTCTGCGAGTTAGGGTGGCATACACATTTCATGAATTATTATTTTGATTAATGTTATAACCAGAGTCATAGAGAGTCTGTTCTCATTATACTACTATTTCCAGTTGCAAAAATTGGACCAACCTGTACAGTGGTGGGATGCTGCCAGTTTAACAACTGGTTCGGTGAGCGCACCAACACACCTAAGCATACATGCAGCTCCTTAAATGGAGCATTTAGAAGCTCAGGTGCTTACCTTCCAAGTCAGCAAGGGTAAATAGAACAGTGAGGGGGCGGGAATCAACTATGCCGCATGATTGAGATGAGCTACAAAGCAGGAAATAAAGGACAGGATAGGGTAGGGACAAGTGAGCAGGGCCAAATGATCGTCGGAACTACGGGTTCGCCCGAACTGGTCTGAATTGGCAGCATCTGACCCCTGAACCTGTAGCATTAAAAGTGCTATCAGGTAGGTCCAGATGTCTTCCTGAAGATGGTTGTTCTGACTTTCAACAACATGTTATTGGGTAGGAACATGTAATATATGATCTCAGAGGACAAATCTCCTTCACAGAGAAAAAGCTACATTATCTGGCTCTTAGTCTCTTTCACCCAGAGCATCCTCTTCTACTTGCCCATATAGTACAGGCAAAGTTTACCTGAAGAAGATGCTCCTAAAAGTAAAGCCCAAGCCGTTCTTATTGATGGGATGATTAATTGGTGGTAGCAGACATTCATCCTTCACTGTTACCGCCAAACTTCATTACGCAATGCCTTGTGTTTATTTGTAATATTTTATCCAAGGTTTTTCTATTAAATATAGTTAAAAGCATGAATTGAGGCTTTTTTCTCTTTTTGCTGTAGCCCACTTCATATTCTTCTCTCAACGTCCTTACATCTGCTTCCTAGTACTTGCCTGCATGATGGCTCTCATTGCTAATTTGTTTTGTTATTGTTGTTGTTTAGAATTAGAATTAAAATTATTTTATTGGCCAAGTGTGGTTGGACACACAAGGAATTTGACGGTGCAAATGCTCTCAATATACATAAAAGAAAAGATCAAAAGTCAAGGATCATCAGGTGCAACACTTAACAATAGTCATAGGGTACAATAAGCAATCAATTCATACTAGGAAACAGTCAATATAAATCATAAGGATACAAGCGACAAAGTTATAGCCATACAGTCACAAGTGGGAGGGGATGGGTGATAAGGACTGATGAGAAGATTAATAGTAATAGTAGTGCAGACTTTGTAAATAGTTGGACAGTGTTGGGGGAATTACTTGTTTAGCAGAGTGATGGTGTTCTGGAAAAAACTGTTCTTCTGTCTAGTTGTTCTGGTGTGCAGTGCTTTGCTCTGCTTTTATTCTCTTTCCATTACAAAATTATCCTGGTGTTTCCTGACATGTCCCTTTCCCCAACCAGTACCTCATCTGATGTCTCTCATCCAAAAAAATGACTGCAAATTTATTCTTCAATTTCTTCTCTGACTCTGATATTATTGAGCAGTTTCAATTAGATCAGTGAACACAGAAGAACATTAAAAAATAAAAATAAATAGCAAGCGTAACACTGTGCATTAAAAAAACACATTAAAAATTGCACGTAGTAAATATATATACTAGAATTGGAGCAATACAGAAAAGATGTCCTCCCTATTGTTGCCATTTAAAATGCATTTATCTGAACTGAAAAGGCTTAAGATGCCAAATAGCTTTGCCACATCTATAGTTGTTCGGCAGCTTCTGTAGGAGAACTTTGCATTTTAATAGAAAGCAAAACAGAATTCAGTATTTTTGTGATGGAAATGCATTTGACAACAGATTGCAAATGATTAGCTTAATATGGAAGAATAATTTCTCATTATTCTAAGCGAAGTATCTGCATGCCGCTTGCTATGCTCCTTCCATTATGAGGAACAACAGTAATACCATCCTGAACACATTTGATTTATACATGAATACTTATGAAACGACCTTCTGAGTACTTTCCCCTTTGCTGGCAATTGTGTTTGAAATAGAATATGAACAGTATCCTTTTGCCTGCATTTTTTCTGGCAATCATAACAACAGTTCATTTGAATTTGCGCATTATTTTGAGAATCATCACATAGACACAACTGAAAGTTGTTAGGGGGATTATAAATATAGAAGGTACTCTTGTTTTAATATGTTATACCTTCACAAATACAGTAATACTGAAAATATATCTGTTAATCTCTGTTTAGAGATTTTCTCCAAAGAGATGGCTTTGAGATTGCATGTTAACAAGTATATTAAAATCAACTAGCCATAACAAGCCAAACTCTTCACAAAATTAGGGCCATGATTAAAATATACAGCATTACATTCATCTTAAATAATTTAATTTGGGTTAATAAGGAGAAAAGTGTGTATAAGAACCCATTGAATGATCATATCTAAGCTTTAATTTTTTTTACCCTTGTTTTGAACTGCTGCCATTTGACAGTTTCAAGTTATGCATGACCAGCTGTTTTAAAGATCATGTTTCTTTTCAAGTTGTGGAGAATGATGAGTTTCCAGAAATCAATTCCTGTTTGGGGGCCAAAGATCCAGTTGACTGGGGGTAATTAATATTCTTTTGTAATCTGTCTGAGGTAGGATGACACTGGAGAAAAGTATACTTCAGCTCAAGTCATGACAATCTTCAGGGATAAAACAGTAAGATAGCTGAAAGATTGTCATATAGTTTAAAGAATCTAAATAAAATATGTATGCTTTCCCATCAGCTAGTCAGGAACCAATCAAGATTGAAATAATATTTCATAAGGCAAGAAAAATTGGATGTTTGGGTATATATGGCATCTGAGAAATCCTTGTTCATCAACATATTTTAAGCCATTTCTCAAAGGCTTAAGTATATATTCAATAAAGAAACATATGTAGAGCTTTAGGTGAGCCACTGACTCTGAATATCTTTATATTGTTGTTACGGGGTTCTTTCAAATTAAGTTTGGAATCACCTGGAGTTTCTCAAGTATGTGCAATTTTAAATATTTCAATAAAGACTAAATTGTCTTTTCCCTTCCCAAAGGTGCAAGAATCTCACCTTTCCAGAGAATCTTCCCGAGGTCAGCATTGTTTTCATATTTGTGAATGAAGCCCTTTCAGTGATTCTACGGTCTATTCATTCTGCAATCGACAGGACTCCTGCTCATTTGTTGAAAGAGATTATTTTAGTGGATGACAATAGTAACAATGGTGAGTAGCATATACCAAATAGAAGGCACATTTTTGTGTGTGTTCTGATGCATTCTTAATGAAATCATTCTGTATTCAAGATGACTTTGATGTTGTAGTTGACAAGACACTATGAAGAACAAAGTTAGTCAAGATATTTTCTTCCTCTGTGTTTTTTTTTCTCCTTTTATATCTGCACTAAATGCATCATTTCATAAAAAGAACTTTTTTTCAGGCTATTAGGCCCATCTGGTCCACATTCTGTCTCACAGTGGCCAAATGGATGCCCTTGGGAAGCTCATAAGACTGAGCAGCAGGCTGTTGATAGTCTCCTTTGGATTCCATTTCCCAGCAACCAGTATTTACATCATACTGCATATGATTGAGGAAGTAATGAACAATTACCAATATTAGCCACTGATAGTCTGATACTGCATTAACCGGTCCATCCCCTTTTTAAAAGCATCCCAGTTGCTTGTCCTTTCTATAACTTTTACCACAGTTTAATTACATGCTATGTAAAAAAAAAAAAGTATTTTCCTTTTTCTTTTTGTCATGCTCAGTTCTAGAACTTACATGGCAATAGTCAGAGCCTAAGCTTAAACTCAGAAGGTCTATGCACACAGCTCAGATATACAAAAAACTGTTATTGCCCCCCCCACCCCAAAAAAATAAGTACAATCAAATTGTAAGCACTTTGAGGTCTAGTTTAGGTAAGACTTCAAAAATTAGGGAAAGACTGTTGGAAAAAGCACTTACGTAAATAAAATAAAATTGGAGGAGTGCTTGGTGAGTTTTTGAGGTTCTAGTCACTCTTTGTTGGGTCCTGAGAAACCACACCCACAATCATTAATAGTTTCAACCCTAAAAAACATTGAACAGGCAGCAATCATGTGATCTTTATTTGACCAGGAAGTCAATGCAGAAGCCGGCAGGGAAGGTTGCAAACTGCCACCTGTTGAAGGATTTCCCTTCTCTTCTTGTGCATGGGGGTGAGGGGTGACTCTTGCAGTGGTCTGGAAAAAGAAAGTTCAAATCATGAAGATCCTTGCTTATTTTCTCCACTGGATTTCCCTTCAGAGCACAGAGGGGAGGGCAACTCCTTCAGGAGGCTGTGGAAAAAAGAAGCTTGGAACTTAAAGGTCCCCATCAGAGTTCCCTCGTACACATGGAGTGGAGTCTTCTGCCCTCCTTTGGCAGTCAACTCTTTCACTCTATCTGCTTAATAACCATTGTAATCACTCTACGATTGCAAATGGGAGAACCATTGGGATTATGGTCCTGGAGTGAAGTGCTCCTCTCACTTAATGACTGAAATTCTGTTTCCAAATTAGTTGTAAATTGAGATCTACCTGTAGTAGTGCCTTCCGTTCATGTCTCAACTTTCTAGAGATTCCATGACTTTTCAATCTAGTCATGATGTCTGAGTAACTTAATAAATGCACTTCTTGTATGTTTCACCTGCTAGCCCATCTTTGAACTAGCTGATTAAAGCCTTTTTCGTTTTAACTTATATCCTGTGTTGGCTATTGAAACTCAACAATATAATTCTATACTGATCACAAATTATATCATTGTAGGCCAATTATAAATTATATGAGATTCACATGGGGAATCAACTAATCCCAGAGATATAGTGGGAACCAAGCAAGAATGAAATTAAATTTATTTGGATTCCATCATATTTTTCTTTTCTTTTTTTTTTTGTAAATTTTATTTGAGTTTTCACAAAAAGAAAAAAAATACAAATAAAACATCTTTTTTGAAAGTAGCATAATCCCAGGTTACATTTCTTCGTACAGACACAAATTCAAGTTCATAGTCATTTTTATATTCTATTTCATATCTTATTACTGTTTTACATTTTCTGCATAGCTTCTCCTCTCTTTTAATTTTCTCAATTTTATTTTAATTATCTCATCTCAATTCAAATCATTATATTTGTATTTTTTGTCTGTCCTGTTTCAATTATCTATTATCTTTTCTCATTAAACAAAATTTTTCCTGTAGTTACTGATTAGAGTATGACACCTTTATATCTTTTAAGTTTATCCATTTAACTCTTATTTAGGCTTCAATATATACCCTAAAGTTATAACATTCAATATAATACATAACTTCTATTCAGATTCTGCTTGGTACATTCTTAAAATACACACTATATTCTTAAAAAAAGAAAAAATTATAAATGTATGTAATTAAAACAACACATTCCATTCCAATTCAATTCTATCATTAATATTAATATTCATTAAAGTCTTAACTTCTTTAACATTACTTTTCAATTAAATATCATACTTCTATGGGAACAATTATAAGCTTTCCATAATTAATTCCCTCCTCTTCACTTATATTTTATAAAACATTATCTAATTAAAATGTTCCCGTTCCTTCCTAATTCAATTTTCTCATTTATTTTATTTCACTTATTTTATTAACAAACTTTTTACTAAATTACACTAACTATTTTATCCCTCATTTTAATCATACATTGTTTCCAATTTTCTAAAGTTATTTCTATTACTAATATAACAATACAATCTTATGTACCTTTACAGAATCCCTTTTTCAGTTAGATTTTCACCCATTATCTCTAAATAGGTCCTGTTTGCTCCCGTCCTTTGTAACTTCTTTTCCTTTCCTTCTTCCCTCTCTTCTCTCTCCCCTTTTTATCCCCTTGTCTCTCTACCTCTATTTCTCTCTTCTGTATTATTTTTCTTTTCTTGGTTGTTTTTTTAAATCTTAAATTCTCCATTCTCTTTCCCCCCCTTTCCTTTTTCTTCCCTACATAAAATTACTTGTTCATTAAAGATGGCTTCATACTACCATATGTGGTGGACTTGTGAGGATGCTAGAAAATATTGGACTAAAATCCACATGTGGTTGGAAAAAATGACAAAGAAGCACATAGACTTGAAACCGGAGCTTTTCTTATTGGGAATCTTACCAGATGTTTATAGTAAAGAGTTGAAATATTTGATTGTAAATGTATTGACTGCGGCTAGGATTGTATTTGCAAAAAATTGGAAAAATGAGAAAATTCCATTGCAGGAAGAAGTTATAAAGAAAATATTGGAATGTGCTGAGATGAGTAGATTGACTTTTGAAATCAGAGAGCAAGAAGATAAACAGTTTTATATAATTTGGGATCTTTTCTATCAATGGCTGAATGATGAAATACAAAAATAGAATATTTAGAATGTTAGACAATAAGGAATAATATTGATTTTACTTTTCTTTTCTCTTTTTCGGTATTGGATATTATATTTATATAATGGTTTCTTTTTTCCTTTTTTCTTTTATTTAGGATAGAACTGGTACGACTATATGATTTGTTTTAGAATAAATTACTTAAAATATAGTTATCTCATAAAGGCATGATTGAATAAAAGTATAGTCAAATTTCTTTTTCTTTAATAATGATATGATGATATATAAGTTTGCATTGACAATAAGAGTTATTATATAAGGTAATTGTAATTGTGACTATGAAATGAATGCACAAAACTGATGAACCAACCGACTCACTGTTTGTATATAAATACGGGAGAGCTGATGTTTTTATGTTTTGTCTGTTTGTTTGTGTGTTAAAAAACAATAAAAAATTTTTTTTTTTAAAAAAAGATGGCTTCTTCTTTGTCCCAGTCTTCTTGTTTTGCAGACGTTTTTTGTTGTTTCTCATAGTTCCAAATCTCCATTTCTAAGAATTGAAAAATGAACCCAAAAGAACCCCTCCCTTCTTGTGCATCTTCTTTGTACTTTTTAAGTTCCATTTTCAATTCATCCAGAAGTGGTGCCATTGTATAAATTTTTAAAGAACCACCCAATTAATTTTAGTCATTCAAACGTAATAACCAAGAATCCAAAGGCCACCAAATAATCCAAATACATGCAAGCTGTTTCTTTTTGCTCTTTTTTTTCACTTTCTCTTCTTGGGGTTACTGTTTTAGTTACAAAGTTTCAGTTAAAACAGTAACCATCATGTCAATTCTACAATGCCTTTCCTCTCATATTAATGGTAGTGAATTTGGGCATTGAGGTGGTTGGATCCGAGTGACCAAAACTAAGCAGTAAATTGTAAATCCCCCAGAATCTAGGCAAGAAGTCAAGAGAGGTCTCAAAGACACAGCTCTAGATTAAACATTGTTATTGTCAGCAAGGAGGAAGCTAAATGAGCAACTGCTTGTCCACTGCTGTGTGAATATGTCTGTCCCTCTGATTCCTGTGGTGATTCAAACTTAGTTTTCTACTTACCATCTGTCCCATTCAGTAATTGACTTTCTTAATTGTGCTTGGTTATCCTGAAGCTGGGTAGTTGTTAAGTGTTTACATAGTTTCTAACTCTAGCCTAAAAACTACTGACTTTTGCCTTACTCCTTAAATGATCTGTCTTGAATCTCTCTCCATTTAGATTAAATGTGTATTTTCTCTATTATTATTTGTGTGACAGAAAAACTTCTGTTTATCCAAGTTATCTATGCCATGCAAAATCGCTCTTTTCCCCTCTCTCATCTATCTATCTATCTATCTATCTATCTATCTATCTATCTATCTATC